TGCTAGTCAGCACATCTCTTCAAGCCTACTCCCAAATAGGAACCCCTCTTGCCCAAGTCAGGGCCCGGGAACATAGACACACCCATTATTAGCGTCATGATTCAATTTTTGGCACTTCGTTCCAACTCGTGTGGCTAGCACCGGAAGTCCCCAAAATGAGATCCTCGTATCAGTTATAAACATAATGATCCTTTCAGGTTCACCTACGAAAACCTTGTTACGACTTTTACTTCCTCTAAATGATCAAGTTTGGTCATCTTTCCGGCACCGCTGACCACGAAGCCAATCCGAGCGCCAGTCCGAAGACCTCACTAAATCATTCAATCGGTAGTAGCGACGGGCGGTGTGGACAAGGGCAGGGACGTAATCAACACGAGCTGATGACTCGTGCTTACTGGAATTCCTCGTTCATGGAATCATACAGTTTCCAATCCCCAGCACGAAGGAGGTTCAGGTTCAGTCCTCTCGGACGGGAAAGCACACTGATTCCTTCAATGTAGCGCGCGTGCGGCCCGGACATCTAAGGGCATGACCTGTTATTGCTCTGTCTCGTGCGGCTAAACGCCGCTTGTCCCTCTAAGAAGAACGTCCCACAGAAGATGATGGGAACGTCTATTTAGTAGGCTAGAGTCTCGTTCGTTATCGGAATTAACCAGACAAGTCGCCCCACCAACTAGAACGGCCATGCACACCACCCACAGAATCAAGAAGAGCTCTTAATCTGTCAATCCTTCCTGTGTCCGGGCCGGGTAAGTTTTCCCGTGTTGAGTCAAATTAAGCCGCAGGCTCCATTTCTGTGTGCCCTTCCGTCAATTCCTTTAAGTTTCAGCTTTGCACCATCTTCCCACGGAACCCGCTTTGGTTCCCGGAAGCTGCCGGCGTGTCTTGGGAACACAGCCGGATCGCTGCTGGCATCGTTTATGGTTAGAACTGGGGCGGTATCTGATCGCCTTCGAACCTCTAACTTTCGTTCTTGATTAATGAAACATTCTTGGCAAATGCTTTCGCAGTAGTTCGTCTTGCGACGGTCCAAGAATTTCACCTCTAGCGTCGCAATACGAATGCCCCGTCTGTCCCTCTTAATCATTACCTCGTGTTCGAAAACCAACAAAATAGAACCGAGGTCCTATTCCATTATTCCATGCACAATTATTCAGGCGTCACGCCTGCTTTGGAACACTCTAATTTTTTCAAAGTAAACTTGGCGGTCACCGAGACAACCGGTGAAGATCATCAAGAATAACCGCCTGAACGATCGGCAACGAGCAGTAACCACCGGTAGGCGGACCGTCCGGCCGGATCTGAGATCCAACTACGAGCTTTTAACCGCAACAACTTTAATATACGCTATTGGAGCTGGAATTACCGCGACTGCTGGCACCAGACTTGCTCTCAATGGATCCTCGTTAAAGGATTTAGAGTGTACTCATTCAATTGGGGTCTCAAAGAGTCCGTATTGTTATTTTTCGTCACTACCTCCCCGTTCTGGGAGTGGGTAATTTGCGCGCCTGCTGCCTTCCTTGGATGTGGTAGCCGTTTCTCAGGCTCCTCTCGGAATCGAACCCTGATTCCCGTCACCGTTACGACCATGGTAGGCGCGTGACAGTTGATAAGGCAGACGACGAATACGTCGCCGGGACGAGCCCGTGCGATCGCGCCAAAGTTATACAAGTCACACAAAGTACGGTGAGGCCCGATTGGTTTTGGTCTAATAAAAGCGCTCGTTCCCGAAGGTCGGAGCTCTCTGCATGTATTAGCTCTAGAATTGCCACAGTTATCCAAAGTGTAGGGTACGATCCAGGAACCATACTGATTTAATGAGCCATTCGCGGTTTCTTTAATACGGCAGTACTTGGACATGCATGGCTTAATCTTTGAGACAAGCATATGACTACTGGCAGGATCAACCAGGTAACTTCAGCGTTCTTGCGAACGTTCGAAGTTTCAACTTCGAATCGAAATATCACGAGACGCGACGTCTGGTCGCGGGATGCCTCGACTACGGAGGATCCTCAGTGATTCTCGTTATAGACGGAGTTCTCAGTGCCTTCGGAAGAAGGTTCGCCACTCACAACGTCCCGGACGGCGTCAACGCCGCCGGGCGAGTTTAGGCATCGAGATGCACTGTGCGCAGGACACAGGTGCAGAAAACCAATCATTTTTAAATCGGTTCTGCTCGTCGCGTCAACAGCACGGAGGAGCCGCTCGCAGAGTTGCTGAGATATTGGAATCGGCCCGAGAGGCTTGGAACGAAACGTTGTCGTAGCCAACGGTGCCTATTTTCATAAATAATTTTCTGCGCAGGCGAGTAGCAGGAAGCGACAGCCGTCGCTTATAAGCGTGTCCCACGGTCTCGGAGGCGCATTATTTTCCGACACGTCGAAAACCGATAGCCGGAAAGAGCCGCCGTCAACAAAGAAAGAGCCGTATTCCCCGGGATAGCCCAGGAAAATTAGCGATCTCGTTGGTTGCCGTGACAGTATAGGGGAGCGCGAAATTG